ATGGCTTACGATTTGAAGGAATTAAACATTCAAATGAAGCATTATTTGAGGAATAAATACTTGTTATGTGGCGTGTCTATATTTACAGTGAAATCTTAAACGGTGTATTTGTCATAAATTGCGAGGCGCGTGGACGTAGCACAGCCAGCGGCGTTACTTAGACGTTCACTCGGATTTATGAGTCGCAGTGCGGAATATAAATTCTAACGCGTTCATAGCAAAAAACTAGAATTATGAAGAGAGTTGATACCTTGCGATAGACATAGATCTTCTCTATTGGTTTTTGCAACTTGATAGCTCCTTTTTGAACGCTATAATTTAAAGTGGCGCTTATTTTCATTTGTGATATTCTTAGGTTCTAATCTAACTAAAATAACTCTGGAATATTTTATCATATTTATTTATTTACCAGAAAGACTTTTTATTCAAATTAAAAAAGGATGAGATAGATTTTTAATACAAGTGTCAATGTTTGAATTTTGTAGGTACTTATTTTTAATTAATTAAAAAAAAAATATATACAGAAATGTGACGGTGGAACACAAATTGGTGACAATTTCTTCGTCCGCTGGGGCGGCATTCATTACTATACTATTATAATACTTAAAAACAAAATAAATTACTAACTTCTTTAAATGTTAAATTTAAATTTATTTAAAAGATAATTGGTTTACAACTGTAAAGTATTAGGTACAACGTGCGACAGTTACAACCTGTTTTTGACGCCCGAGCCAAGTGTCGGTAGTGTCTTTAAAAGTTGACTTTATGTTTGTCCATGTAGAATATAAAATAAAAGAAGAAACAAATAAGAAAAACATATAAGTAATATATACCTATATATATATATATATAAATATTATTTTATGTTTATATATATATAATTAGTCGTATTTACTTAATGAGCTGTTTTCTCACTGCTGACGTTCTCTTATTAGGTATAAGTCCGGTGTAAATGATATCGCAATATGGACTCAAAAACTTTTAGTATTAAAAATATCGAAATCTCGTACACTCGAATACGCTTTTTGCAAACGATGAAATGAATAAGAGAATTCTTTTTCTTTGCAAAAGGTGACAAAGCGGCATCGAGGGAGTTCCCAACATGAAGTTATTGTCTGTGACGTAAAGTCGCCCTAACAAATAGCGCTGCGTTTTTCACTTTTGCAACATTCTAAATAAGAGTTAATGTCTATCTAAAACATCGGGTTTATTTTGCGACGTTCTGTACGCTATATTATTTACCTGTAGCGTAATAATTTTCGGTGTCGACTGACAGTTCCCTTTACACAGCAAAAATGCACAACATTCAGGAAGGGAGATTCTGGCTACATACATATGTCATAAATTCAAGTTTTAAGTTTTTACAATAGCTTTTAATAGGTAATTAATCAAATATCATAATACTGTTGGTACATTACGTTTCCGTTGGAAAAAACATTCATTTTTTATGTTACTATTTAGTATTGAAGAGTAAATTTGTTTCATATTAAACTTTTTGTACTTATTTTTTTTTATTTTTATAGTCGGCAAACGGGCAGGAGGCTCACCTGATGTTAAATGATACGGCCGCCCATGGACACTCTCAATGCCATCTGTGTGTAAGGTACCAGAAGGTCACCAGCTGAACGACCACGTCGAAAGTCGTAATAATAATCGCTAATCAGCTAGTGGCTCTCTAGATACTTTAGGAGCTGGCCATTAATAATGGATCCATTTATTTTGGAGAACAAGAAGGTTAACATACTTTATTCTTAAGTTATATTTGAAGCGTTCATAACTAAATATAGATAATTCAAAAAATGGTCTCCATATCATAATATTTATTTCTTCGAACGTAAATATTTTTATCTGTACGGAGGTTAAAATGTATATCAATATTTCTCCAAATTATGTATTAGTAATATTATTGGCCGATAGTTATTCGAGGGTAAAATTGTACCCTTGTTCCTCAAAGCCTTGTTCAGTGACCTGTAATATCTGTGGAGTGTCTGTGGTTTCTAAGCTATCACGTGATACCGAGTATTAGGGTAACGCATGTGAATGATCGTCTAATGTTATTTATGAAGTACAAACCTTATATTTGTGCTATCTATTTTAGTGATATATTCCATCTCAGTGAGTTTTTTTCCAGGAAAGGAATTAGATTTAAGGTCATAAACGATATCTTAAAATAGTAAAATTTAAAAATAGTCAGGAATACTTTGTAGTTTAGATATACATTACTTAAGAATGAATTGTAAAAAGATATACGGATCACAATTATAGGTTAGGTATACACTTATTAATTATATTTATATCGCCCGGAATTCGAACACAGAAACAACACCTCTAACAAAATTCTGCTCCTACGCATGTTACGACGGTTCTACAAAAACACATTACAGTATAAATTCATTTCTACTCATCTAATTGTATTAAAACTTGCCACCTCAAGAGGCAAGCTAAAATAATAGAGTTCTCCAGCAATTACACTACAGCTCATATGTATGCAAGCCACTGGCGAAATTGGCCGAGGAATAACGTCAAAATTGTTGTGCCGGAGGGGTTTATTATATGACTCCACGATTGTTTCCTTACAATTCGATCGCTAGCTAGAACTGTTCCTAATGAAATACAAACTTTAGCTTGTCAGCAATCGCATCTGATGTGGTTATACTGTTGAACAACGATGAGAGCTTTGTTATGCACAAGCATTCTTAACTATTGTTTTATTAGGATTACGTGGCTTGTTCCTTTAATTAATACATTTGGTACCTGTAAAAGAATAGTAAAACTAATAATTAATTAGCGTAGAATTTTACATCTTAGCACGCTTATTGCAATTATTTTTGACCAGAATATTAGAAAGTCTCGTAACCCCGGGTTATAAGTGTATTCAGCGTGGGACTCTCATTCATGAGGTCGTTGGTTCGAATCCCGGCTGAGCACCAATGGACTTTCTTTCTATGTACGTCTTTAACAGTCGCTTGTACGTTGAAGGAAACGTTGCAAGGACATTGAGATACAAGGCTAATCACCTACTTGTATATTAAAAACAAATGATCACGAAAAAGATACAGAAAACTAAGGCCCAGACAAGAGGTTTAAAAGGTTGCATCGCCTATGGTTTTTATAGGTGAGCCATAGAAGTTGATACAGGTCTATTAATTTCTAGACAAGTAGTTACAAAACCTGAGAAACACGGAACAATATTTATTTCACTGAAAATCAAACTACGGATGTCCGGTCGATCCTGCCGTTTACTGAGCCAGAGATACGGTTAATTACCTAATATGACATTTATTAAATTGACATCTACCTACTTAAAAGTAAAAAATATGTCTTTATTCTGTGAATATTTAAATAGACACCTAATGATTTTAGTGATTTCTAACAATTTGTTATAGTTTTGGATAGTACACGAGTGAATTAACATACTTGGAGGTTTTTAAACGCTCTTAGCAAATGCGTTGCCGGCTTCTAAGGATGTGGTACGTTCTTATCGTAAAGGTTATCTAAGAAAAATATAAAGAATATATTAAGCAACATCGCGGTCACTAATTGAACAGTCATCGTTGACTTATTGTCCAATAAAGTCGAGATGTGAAAAATAGCTGCTATCCCATTAACGTCACGATCAGAACGATTTCGCCGATGTCGAACAATTTGTAGTGGCAGTGATTTGTGTAAAGTGTATTATTAAAATAATAAATAACTTGAAATAATAGAATATATCTACATTATATATTTTTGTTGTCAACACTTGTGAATGCATATTTCATTCAATAGTATATATATATTTTACTTCTGGCGAGAGACTGTGTGCCTGAAACGATTCTCTGAAACGACAAAGACCCAATTTTAAGATGTATTTGATAATGATATAGAGTAACATATGTGAAGCGTTACCCTATTACTCGGTATCACGTCATAGGCTTAGAAACTACAGACTTTCAGATATTACAGGTCCTAACAAGGCTTTGAGGATCAGAGGTACAACTCTGTGGGCCCACGAATAACTATCGGCATAATATTACTAATTGTGAGAAATATGCTGAAACAATTAACCTTCGTTCGGATAAAAATACTTATAAATACCTTGTACCTAAGTCTTTTTGCAAATGGGACATATCCTTATACAAATAAATAAATAAATCGGTGGCATTTTACGTCTGGGCCTCAGATTTCGTATCTGTTAAATGAACTCATTTGTCAATGTAATAGGCAAGAGGTCCAGCCTCCTGTGCGACCAGGGACGTCGACCGGCGAAATGTACCGAGGCAATCGCGCGCGATTGACCCGCACAAGGTATCATACAAAGCATAAATCAGTACGGTGCAAGCCCATCGGAGTCCTAATGCGCCGTTATAACTAAACTACTATCATTCTCTTTTCATCACAGCGATAAATACTAGTTTACACTGGCCGGGCGAAAAAGGAATACGGAGTTGTCGATTGGTACGGAACAAACTTGTGTCTAAGTCGAAACTCTTTACTGGAAGTCTCGGACCATCCACAGCATAGACTAAATCTACCATTTAACCCCAAGAAGACACAAGTATGCAGCGTTTTCACGTTAAAATTCTATTTGCATTAACTCCTTTTCTCCAACTCCCTCTTTGAATATTCCTTAAGAATATAATTGAAGGTTCGGAATACTGGGCAGTTGGCATATCAAAAATAATTCGTTCAGTTTCGCTCATACTTGAAGGAAAGGCTAAATTCCTCCAAAAACTTAGTGTCTCTGCAGCAAAAAGCTATTACTTTCACTCCGGGCCACCGTTGATTTCGATAAAGCACAAATTCGGCCCATATGTAGAACTGCCTCACTGGTCGCGGCGGCAAAGCTGACTGGTCCGTGCCTGCAAACGGCTCCTTGCGAATGGTCGCCTCGTCTCCAACGAAGAGCGGTTCGAATCGTCGATCGACCAGTCACTTTCCGTGCCGCAAGATCCATTGGCGTTGAATAGAGATGGGATACTCTCTGTAACTTCTACGCATTTCATGGAAATTGTTCAGAAATGTTCGGTCTATACCTGAAGCTGAAATTAATCAGGCGTCAAGGCAAAATACAACCTATACCATCCAGATCCCTCGACGTCCGTCGTTCCACAACAGATCGTTTGTCAAGGCAGTTGGCCGCGCACCCACTTGTGGAACCAGCTGCCCACGAAGTATTTCCGGCCAATTCGACTTTTAGGGTCCTTCAAGAAAAGAGCGTCCAATTCCCTGAAAGGCCGGCAACGTACTTACAGAGCCTTCTGGCATTGTCAATGGGTCCTAATGCGTCGGTTTAACTAACATCAGGTGAGCCTCCTCTTTGCCTCACAGCATAAATACCAATAGAAGGAAAAAAAAGAAGGAGCTTAACAGAAAGCAATTAGACTAATTTAGCTTTTATGAATACCGAGGTTAGACTATAGATGATTATTTAAAAGGGCTTTCGTGTCGTTCTCCTATCCACTCAGTATCGCAGATTCATTTCTTTTTCTGTATGTTTTTGAATAGGTAACTATTTCTAGATAGATCTAAGATTTTTCGTCATGTTAACCTGTACTGGCAAGTGTTAAAAATGCATATAAAAAAAACTAAGACATAGTCCACGCCAGACACACGACCCACGACCTCTGGAATCACGCGCTAAATCAGCTTAAAAGACGGGCTATCTCAGATTTAACTAAAAAATATTTAGATAAGGTTTTAATTTTACACAGTAACAAATTAAGATCGTGAACATAAATAACTCGAGAACGATCTTAAAAATTGTCTTAATTGCGAGGTTTAATGAGAAGCTGAGTGAGGATAGCTTTAAAATTCCACTGTAGCGGATCTGAATATTCATCCCTAATAAAACGATCGAAATGTGTTTTGGCTGACCTTTTCATTGAATTTAAAATTTCAATTTTCGTTGGAAACTGGTCGCGAGTGTTTTATAATCTGTATGATATCAATAAAAATGTAATACCATTGAAAAAGTACGTTACAATAATTAATAGTTTAATTATTGTCATAATCATAATATATATATGGCGCTACACACTTTTAGGTCTGGGCCTCAGATTTCTGTATCTGTTCTGTGATCATTTCTTATAGGCAAGTAGGTGTCAGACACAGAAGGTTGATCAACCTTTTGTGTCGCACGCACCGTCGACTTTTTCGGTGTAAGCCATGCCGGTTTCCTTCACCGTGCGAGTGAGTGTTAAAGCGCATATATAGACAGAAAGTCGTTGATGCACAGCTGGGGATCGGACCTACGAACCCAGGGATGACAGTTGCACGTTGAATCCACTAGGCCAACACTGCTCATAATCATAATAGTACAGAAAGTAACGTAGGAATTTACATATTTATTTTTATAAAATTGCATGTTAAAAAGAATAATATCATTAACTAATGTTTAAATTATTATTTACAATTAGAATTTAATTTATTACAAGTATTGTTATTAAGCTTTTAAATACAACTTGTTATATATTGCTTGGTATGTAAAGTAAAATATGTATGGGATTAAAACCTCATCTTTAATCTGTCTGCGGTAAGTACGGACGCAGGTGCTTGAAACTTGTACATAATACGTTTTTCAAGTCGGGCCTTTCGAACATCTGCCTTCCGACAAATGATTTCAATCGTAAAAATTGCTATGATCAGCGTAATAATGCAATTTTCTTACAATAATCCTATGATTATTTTGGTAATAGCAATCTGTGATTAATAAGAATAAAAAGACATTAATCATGATAAATAGACCAAACTTTTTTAATGCCGGCAGCATTTCCCTGTATATTGCTATACTAAATATATTCCACTTAAGGTCCATCAAGAAAAGAGCGTACCAATTCTTAACAGGCCGGCAACGCACTCGCGAGACCACTGGCATCGAGTGTCCAATGTCCATGGCGGTATCAGTTAACAACAGGTCAGCCGCCTGCCGTTTACCCCCTGTTCTATAAAAAAAAATCGTTGAGTGAGGATAGCACCACCACCACCAGTCTGGGGTTACCGGTACTATCTACCAGATGCCAACATAAATCTATAATAAGCGCCTGTACACTTGAACCCCACGGCGCAAGAGTCTACTGCAAAGGGAACAAAATCAGATTTGTAATAAATGTAAAAATTAAGGTGTATTTATATACACATTGTCATGTGAATGCAAACTTGCATAAAATAACACAATTATATTTTACTAATTCTGTGAGCCCACACACAAACATCGTAATCTACCAACAATTCGTTTAAAACATTAATCAAATTGTTTTACGATTGAAAATGAACAAAACAATTCCGTGAAATAATTTTAAGCGTAAATACGCCGATAATTATCTACAATAAAATATCATTATTTAGAGAAAATACACTAAATAAATTGTGCATAAGCGCAAATTGCAATATTATTACTGTAGAGAAAATTGCATTCTCGCGTTGTGTGTATAAAATTTTCACAATACTATGGGAAAATTACGTACTTATTTGACAACCGTTTATTTATATTACAAATGAGTTTCATAAATATTCTCATTATTTAATTATAATATCCTCGTTTCTTACTAAGTATTGTAGCAGATTTTTTTTCAAAACAATAAATCTCTGCTTAGTAAAAGTTCGACTGTTAACAACTTGAATTGCCGGGTATCTTGCGCTAGTCCAAACAGCACCGGGGTGGATGCGATGCCGGTCCATTACCGTACGTTCCTCTACCAGCCAATACCACGACTTCTTCGTAACTTCGTAGCTGCAACAAGTCGTATCGATGATGACATGTCCAGGATATATATATATATTGTATACATAGAACAAAACATGCATAATCAAAAGCATTTTCTGCCACGATATTAAAAATAAATTTGAACGTAAAATATAGAATAACAACATAAATAAGTAACTCAATCATTGGTGATTTTCTATTAAATTAACCACGATTGTGACAAGAATAATCGCAATACTAGAGGCAGTTCTATGCCTGCTTCATAAATTCTTAGCAAAGCGATAAACAAGACTTTTAGAAGCTGGATGACCCAATAAGGCACGTTATTGGGGGCTTACTTGGACAAAAAAAACACCAAACAACATTGTGTACCATTATATATACCATTAAAAAAATCATATGTAGATAGTTCTGATATGTTTCGCGAATCAAGTCACATCCCAATGAGGAAAATGTACTTTTGATCCATTAAACATTAAAGCCAAGAAAGTTCAGAGTTAGGTCAACCACATAAAAATAATTACTACTTCCTAGGGATACAAACCGAGTTCCTGGTGTAGTAAAAACCTCCAGTCGATTTAATTATTAATTATGAGGTTTTACTATAAATAGTTATAGCTTTGATATAGTATCAAAATAATATTAAACTTAATACCTTCATCAAAAGGTTTACGTGGAAGCATTAACATTGTTTAATTAATGACCGTTCAACAGGATTTTCCAAGAATTACCTAGTGTTCATCTACTTCGCAAGATAATTTTATTAGAGTTTCCAACTACCAAGTTTATAAATAGACAAAGTAAAATATGAATGTAGGAAATGTAGTGTTTTTGTCACAGATAACTCGAAATAATTCCTCTTTTAAAATTGTAATTAGAATGTCTTATTTAAATACCATAATACTATTCTCAGCTAATTTTGTACTTATTTTAATGAACGAGACGACTAGAAAAAAGGAACAGGGACTAAACATTTAGTGTCTATAGAAAACGAGATATTAAAAGTCAAGAGATCTAAAAAAAACAAAATTACCATAATTATTATTTATTTATCGACTTTCATTAGTTATTATTATTTAAATAGTTTTTAAAAGAATATAAGCCGCAGTTCTGATATATATAGATACTGATAAAGAAAATATAACTTTTGAAGAGCCGATGGACCCAGTCATGGAAATCAGATGTGAAGAAAATAAATGCTTTTATTAAAACAATATCGTTAGGTCACGAACAAAGGTAATTTTATCCTAATTCATACAAAAGTAGTTCATAATAATGAACTCTTTTGTACGCGCTCGTATATTAGCTTGGACGTCCCTCAAGAAACAAGAATGATAAATGAACACAGCATTAAATAAACAGCAAACTTCACTTTAAAACTGCGGTAATGTGAGAGTTAATTTGATAAACCATGTTAGTAATGTCTCTTTTCACTTGTTTCAACTTGAGGGTAATTCTCTAAGTCTACATATACAAACTATAATATGTTTAATTTATCATTAAAATATGATGGAACTGAAGAGTTTGTTTCTTTTTGTGATCTCAGAAACATCGAATGCTTTGAATTGAAGTATTATTTGAGTATTGGATTGTTGATCGAGGAAGGAATTAGGCACAACAATACAATACTTTAACACTGGAATGCACATCTAGTGTCACATTAAATTTCATCTTTAATCCTTGAATCCTAATGGTTTAGTAAATACATAGAATGTTTTTACAGATTATATATACTTACTATGTCGGGTCGGAATTTATAAACATCGTAAGATTTAGCAAGATCTCTTTACATGTCCGTATTATATTACAAAATATATTTTTTGGATTGGAATATATATTTATTCAAGTGCACAACAGGCGCTAATTAAAGATTTAAGTTGGCGCCTGGTAGATACTACCGGTAACCCCAGAGCTGTAGCTCAACGAATAAGTATCGCAATACAGCGAGGAAATTCTGCCAGCGTTAAAGGTGGTCCCAGTGACCATACTTTTTAAATATGTTTTAATTTTTAATTATTTTTATTATTACTATGTTGGTTAAGAATATTGTAAATACTATACAATATTTTCTTTATAATTAAACAAAATAGCTATAATTTTTTTTGGATTCAAAGTGAACTCTCTCCTTCTAATAGCGATATCGATTCCGAAGTTTTTGTATGCTATTTCGATGTTCGTAAGCTAGCGCTGATGTCGCAAACTTGAGATCGCGTTGTACAAAAACTTAAAAGTCGGGAACGTAATTGCTATTGAGAGTTACAAAGTACCAGTACGTTAATGCTCTTGCAGATCAGTTGAACCAGTGCTTTCAGACTATTTTCGTTTGTATGTATACGTAAATAACAGACAGACAGTGGAATATCAAATATTTTAAATTCTCCTCCTAATGACTCACTTATCTAAAATCATTTTATTTATTTGATAATGCTGGTCATTTGATACATAAATATCATGAAAAAATTCATGAAATATGACGCTCGCTAGCTTTACGACAAATGAAGTGTTGTGAGTCACTCCACGAAACTTTTGTTTCTTTTTTATTCGAAAAGACGAAATAGGTTCTATATATTCTTAGATGCATAAATGGCCTTT